AACGCTGGTCTCAGGATGATTGTCAAAATGTTGTAAAATACGATTCCCTGCCTGCAAATCTCTTCGTAACGCTGCTTGAAATCGGTTGTTTTCTTGTCGAATTGAAAATGTTCCAGTCTCTCGCAATCTATTAAATGTCAACATAAACACTCTTCGGTTTGGCACTCTTCTGTTTGGAAATCGTCGTGCATATTCTCGCACCGCCTTTAAAGCATTACCGTTGCAGAAACCGTATACAAAAACCATATCAGCATATTCACTATTAGAATACGTACGCGGCATATTGCAAAAGACAAAATTCATCTACTGTTAAAGGCTTTCAAAGAGCGACTGACAAATTCATAACAGAAAGTGGAAAATGTAATCAAATATGTCGGTGCTAGATATGGCAAGAAATGTAAACATTTTTTTTCGATTTCTCTGAAACGGAGCAAAAACGAGCATATGTCTATAGGACTTTTTTTCTTAGTTTTTTACTCCTCTACACGCTCCCGAAGTTTTGCCATTTAATTTGGAAACACCCTGTATAACGACATATTCTCTTTAACTAGAGAGTTACAAAAATATTTATATAAAGAATACGTTCGTATCAAAAAAAGTGGTACAAACAAGAGTCACAAAACATTCGAAAATTTAATAAAATTCAATAAAAAAAATCATACACATTTATATTGTTTAACAAACAGCATTTTAATCTCGTAGATATTTACACAAAAAATTGTCTCATTGCATCCGTATAGAAAGGCCAGATAATCACGTCGTGAATAGATTCGATCAAGAGAAAAATATATATTGTTTAATATCGACCGCGCGAATCGAGATTTCGCAGAGCTATCATATTTAACTATTCTGTGTGCGTATCATGATCTGCTAAATAAATATTACAACTTATATTCTTACGTATTTACGTACTCTTTGCCTGCATATGTTCGTATCGTACTACCGGACTCTATTTGATAATATTAATATGAAGGAGTCTCCAAACAATATGAATAACGTTCGCCGACATTAGCAAATATCATACACACACATGACATAATTATATGTTATAATTATCTATATTGAATGTGAATCAATATTTAGCGAATGTATGCAAAGTTGAAGTATACATTGGTCATATCGTTTGGAGACATCTTAACTCTTGTATGTATATACAAAAGCTTATAACTGGCAAGTTGAACATATTTAATTATATGTACATGCGAAACTATACAATCAAATAATACCGAGAAATATTGTTTTGAAATTAAATTGTTAGTACTACAAATCACAAAAAAAATTCATTAGCAGGTTGTTTGATCATTTGACAAAAAATGTGCGCACGATAAAAAAATCGATAGCTCTTCTTTTTGTTTTATTTAATTGTAAATTAAATTATAAATAAAGCTACATTCGCGTTAGTTGCTACAACATGTTCTGACATGTTCCTATCATATCTAACAAACACGTTGGAGTGAGTAGAGCTATGGTAGGAGCACGTTGGAGCATGCGACGTGAACAAACCTATTGTGTGAAAGCCAGAAAAATGTGCGCATAAATTTCTTTTTTCGTTTTTTTTTTTAGTATAATAAATCAATATTCGCTAGTCTGACATACACCTCGTTGTTCATCAATCTTTACACGCTAAAATTTAATATTTACAGATTCATCGTAGTAACACGTGCTCTAAGAATATCGCGAAAACACGAGGTCCGAAAGGAAAATGCCGAACTGATGAAAAATTCGAATACGACGCATACATATTAAGCCATTACGATTATGATCTATCGTTCTTATTGTTAATTGTAGTAAATTAATCGCCTTATCTAACGCAGCCTAGGCCGATTTACATCTTTGGTAAAAGACAACAAGACTTGTGATCACACGGCAGTTACGGTTGTGCTTAACAAATCCGAACTGCGCGAATTATTATAAATTAGTAAGTTATGAACGAATATTTAAAATTAGCTTATACATGCCATGATTACTAGATTGACAATTTTATAACAAATAATCAGTAGGAATAAAGACTATGTGTAAAAAAACGCTGTAAAAAACTTACTTCGAGCTCTTTTCGATATTAAAATATTTATAATATGACTAGCGCACGTTTAGTAAGATCAAAGCTCATGTAATAGTAATTAATGACTTGAACGTAAATTCATTCATATTAAGTACAAGCTCGGAAAAAGCTCGGTATATAGAAATCAATACATTAATTAGTAAATTTATTGATTTTCTACGACGCATTTTTTCGCGCGTCTCTAAAAACTTGTCTAAAAATACAGATGAACACAAAATCAACTTACAAAGTCGCCACGATTGTACAAACATTGTACAATACGCGCACTATGTACAAATACATCTCTCAAACTCCTAACAATCACTCTAGTGCCATTGAGAAGCTGCTATTCATTCTGCATAACTACACAGAAATATCATTTCCACGTTTCTCAATCTGAGACATTCATTATTTATATATGTCACACTTGCTATGGCGAAAGAAAGAAAATTATCTAAATAAATAAATGAAGTTTCAATAAAACGGGGCGAGTATTCTCTTTGCGATACGTACATCAAAATACTATTTTAACACGATCCCTGGCATCTGGTATTCACATTGCTAATACATGATGTGCGAGATGCATCGATTTACATTCGACTATTCTCTCCCTTTTCCTTATTACTAAACTATCCCGGCTTACGTTACAATACAGAGAAAATGTTGCGCTTGGTCTCGCTTTGTACTTTAATAAGTGGTAGACAATATACACTTATATTGGTGTTTCTCTTGAGAGGATTCTAGAAATTATTCGTCCCGGAGCTTCGAACGCCTTGAGACGACAGGCGCCACTGGTCCAAATCATCTTTGCATTGATGAGATCTATATGCAACGACATACGACAAGGAGCGATACGATCCTTGCGTAAAAAATTACGTCTAGCATAACCGCATTTCTAGGCCCTTAGCTCAACAGAGACTCTTTCGTAAAATGATGACTGTTTACGGTATTTTACAATCAATTACTTAAAAATAAATCGTAAACAATATATTTTCTTGCGATAGAAGCCTTATGTTAAATATATGTTTCTATACAACGAAAGATTGCGAGCAATGGTTATTAATTTTTATTTATATACTTTTTTCCGCGGTTGGTTCACTATGGATCATTGAGATTCTGTATATATGTAGTGTATTGCGATCATGGCAGAACCAGTCAATAAATTATACGTATGATTATGAGAAAAATATTCAACAAATTTTTTTACAAAAAATTAACTGCATATCGTAAATACCATAAATAATTTTCTATTTGTAAATATTGATGAAATTATGACGAAATATTATATACTAATTCGCTGAAGTTTTTACGCTATATAGCGAGAAAATTTATGTTCACAATACAAATTTTCCAACTTTGTTGTAAAAGTGTTGGCAACATATATGCTATAATACTCATTTAAATCTCGTAGCAACACTATTACATTAAAATAGCAAGTATTGTACGATTCATTAATAAATACGACGCTAATAAAAAATAAAGTAAGGTTCTTCAGAAATGTAGCTTTCATTGACTTCCATTTCTGTAGATTCATTATATCGTGGACGGCATTGTACTAAACTGACACGTTGCAGCAGAAATAGGGGATAAATGTGTGCGAAGTTCTGCAAAATAAAATATTAGTAGATAAATTTCTTTCTCAATTAATAAATACTGAATAAGGAGATAATAATGTCTTCTAATGGAATTATTGATATCTCACCTATATTTACAATGCGATTATTTAGAGTTCGCACACCTCATCTGCCGTTGCAACTTTCGATTATTTTGCTTTTTATGCACACTTTTATCACATTGTCTGTCAGTATCATAAATTAATTGCTAAGAACGTGAATGGCCGCCACCATCATCGCCACCCGTATCTTCAGCTCGACGTATATCAATTGAATCGTCTCGCTTGTTATCCGTATTACGACTGAAACATTCAATTTGGCTGATATACATTGTTACATACGCACAACATAATTTACGCAAAGTTACAAAAGCGGCAAATACTCTAAAATAAGACTCACTCTGCATGAACGTCAATTTCTGTTGATACACGAGTTTGTTCTTGGACAGGAGATGATTTTGTTTTTGATGTAAAATCTGTTTGATAATTATTGGCCCGTTTACTCTTCCTGATAACTTCCTCTTTACTATTCGATTCTTGTATCAAATACTTTTCCAATATTTCCACCATTGCTTTCAGGCAATTAACAAACAACTCAGCATTCTCAGGCGTACAATTAGACTGTAAACGTATTATTAATTACGTTAAGGAAAATTAAGACTAGCTCCTCAAATCCAGTAATGATCCTTAGTATTAAAACTAAATAACCAAAAAACCAAATCAAATGCTAGAATTCAGAACTTACATTCGTATAAAGGCCTGCGAATCTCCAAAGACCCCGAAATCCGCAATTTTGCAAATAATGTTGCAAATGATGTTGATTTGAGTCTTCACAAGCTATCATGTTTTGAATAATCGTTTGTACTGCATTTAATATTACTTGATCTTGACAAGAAGACAATACACTGTTGATTTTCGCATCAAGCAAGTTATGTCTACAAAGAGATATTCGGCAAGTTGTAAATACTTGAAAATAGATTAATTTCTTTTCTATCTGTCTAAGAAAACTTACACGTATGGGAAAACTTTCGGGAAAACTATAGTTGCTTCCGCTAAATACTCATAAAGAATCCGCGTTTCGTTTTCGCTAGTGGAATACTTTACTAGCGTGGCCAGCATAGTTAGCACCAAAGTCTGTGTTGTAAAATCTGTTAACACTTCCGGATCGAGCAAAACGTTATTTTCGTTGCTTAAACTCACTCTCGTACTCCGATCTCTCTGTAGCGAAAAAAATATAAACATCTCAGTTTTCTCATTATATCGACTCATGATAAGATTAAGAAATTAGATATTATAGTCGCAAGACATTTTCATGTTTTCCAACATGAATAGTTAAACACAACTGCATCTCAAACTGCATTTGAAAAAAAGGAAAAAAATATAAAAATTGTTACTAAAATGACAAAAAATAAAAGTACCTGTTGTTCTGTGTTGTCCGTTGACTTATCGTCCTTTGCGCTCGGCACACTCAAGGATCGCTGCGATTTAAATAAAAGCCGGCCAGTCTTGTTAGTGACAAGTTGCATGATGTTTTATATAATCCAGGCAGGCACAGGCAGGCGCGGGCACACACCAAGAGAGTAAACAGAGATGCACGGAGGAATAAAATGTTATATGCGCAACAAGTCTACTAATATTAACTAGGAGTCGGATAGAGAAGTATAGCAGAACGATAGAAAAATCATTACGCGAAATGAATTTTCGTTCAATTCGTGCTTAAAAGCTGAGGTTTTGATTTTTTTCATGTGCGTCAAGAAATTCAAAAATAAAACATAATTGAAAAGTTCTATATCAAGAAGATAAATAAAGTAGGATACATATTTAAAGTATATAAATTTTCAGATAGATTAGATACATGGATATAGATACGTTTTACTGTAATTTTGTAGATAACACACGTACACACACACAAATTTTTAGGCAATAGGTTTTTTGATAAACAAATATTTCTTGGCAAAAGTGAAAGATTTTTATCAAACAATTCATAAAGATACGATAAGCGAAGCAATAGCAATAGAAGCAATATAATTTATCGCGCAAATTACACAAATTACGAATATTTTATGAGAAAGATAGTTCATATTTTGTACGAGTAAGCTTTGAATAATTTTATTTCGTGCGAGCATCGATTCTTTTAGGATCATGCAGTGCATTGTTTCAAAGTAACCTCATGCTCTCTGTATGCTCGAGAGTGATTTCTCTTTAACTTGCTAAATAAGAAATTGTGTGTGCGAGAATGGTGCTACATTTTGATATATTCTACATAAATAATTTAAAAAAGTAAGATTTTCGAGGACGCAAAAGTTTGTATTCCTACAATATTTCCAACGAACAAGTTAACTACGCGCGTTGCTACAATTATCGCTGCAGCTGATAAAAGAGAAATTCTTGAACAACATACGCGCGCGATCGTATAATTATATAATTTATACCTGTGCAGATTGTTTTTGTTGTTTTGCTTGAGTAAGTGCTGATTGATCCAGTAAATCCCAAGTTTTCTGTCTTCTACTTGTAGGATTAGAAGCTCCAGGCATTTCCTAATAGATATACAATAATCTCATATATTATATTTTATGTATGCTATATTACAACAAATAGAAAAAAGACAGTCACCGTATTGCGCGACGGTAGAGTGTCAAGAACATCTGAACTGCCTGATGAATCGTGCAAGCTTTTGTCAAGCGAATGTCGGATGTGACACCTGCTACGAACCTCTTCTGACACAGCCACTAACGCTGCGGAATAAAATTTGTATAGATTTTTTTTAAATTTTGATATAAATATTGAGCTTTCGATCTCTCAAATCAAACATACCGGTTAAATAAGGAACGCTTTCAGGCGTTACTTCAAACTTATCCCTTTTAGAGGGTTTAGCTATGATTGCCAGTAACATGGTCAATACTCTGACCGTCCTGGTGACTGTAGTTGGCGTAGGATGCCTGTAGCCTTTCAGGAGATGACCAACCAGCGCGAAATGAAAGTTAGACTTAAAGGACAGGCCCACGGTGTGATCCAATTGTTTAAATTGACATTCCAAAGGTTCACGCGTTGACATCATTACGTGTTCTAGTGTCTAGAAAAAATAGTAATAGTTTATTCTCTATTATTCTGTATATCAAGAGATATTGAAAGATTAATCAAAATTCGAGAAGAATTGCAGACCTTCTCGTCGAAAGTGCCCTGCGAATCAAGTGTATGCAAATTTTGCTCTAGAAGGGCTAGACCGGATGCGTATAACGACGTTTCGTCTAACTCTAAAACGGATGTGGCAACCCAGAATAAATACCTATGTATTGGAGATTCCTTAACAGAAAACGGTAAAATAGATTTAATATTGAATATTAAAAAAGAACAATCTCCAAGACTCTAAACGGGGAAGAAACTTACAGGTCTCAGAAGAGGTTGCAATCGTGTTAAGCACATAACAATAGCCTCTATGAGATTAATATCGTTAAAACTTTCGAGCGCCTTCATCAGTATCTTCAGCAATTGTTTCATATCTTGATCAGTTATACTTTTGCTGATACAACCAAAGACGATGAGCGCTCTCGGCTGCAAAGCCGGATTTAAGCAGAAAGCGAAGTTCTTCGCTAACAAAGTCCACGTTTTTAACCAATCGCATTTCGGAATATCCCGCATGCAAGCCTCTATAATTTATGACTTCCAAACTAGTTAAATAAAGTCTCTCCTTGTCCTGCGTTCCATACGCGCTTCTTTGATCGCTACTGAGCCACTTTTCATTCACGGGTTTATTGCTGGAGTTTGGATGTTTGTAGAAGGCTGTGCCAGCAGCAGATTTCACTTTGCTGATACCGAACAACAGGTAAAACTTTGGCAATGAGAACTCGTCTAGGCTCATCCGTAGTATCCTATGTGTATCTTCGGAAAACGCAGGCGAACTGCATGTGCATAATGAATGAATACTGTTGATCACTAAACCATGAGTGGAAGCTCGCATAGTCAAACTACCAGAACATACGAGTTTCCCTACATCCAGACAGTTGTTAAAGGATAACATCAAAAGATATCTCGCCAGGATCGCTATGTCGCTCCACATTATATGCTGCTCTAACTGTGTCGTCGGCGACATGCACGTTTTGTCCACTATTCGACATACCTTGTTAATCAGTTTCTTGGCGACCAGTTCTACGTTACCGGATGCCAGAGCAACAGCAGTATCCGCCATAATCTCGGCCATCGGCGAACCTAAGCCGTATCGTGCGCTACGTTGAAGAAAAATATCGAGAACAACGTCTATCAGTTCCGGCAACATGCCGATTGTGCTCCAGATCTTGGCCTGTATACTCGGATACATTTCAATTTCCTGAACGGTTAACGTAATCAAATCGTCCAGGATCTCTGTAACTTGTTTCTGCCGCTTGCCTTCGTCGTGAGGTTTGTAAAATCGCACGAGGTTGCTGAGCCACGGCGTCATATATTCCAAGCATAAATGTTTCAGTTCAATGGTCGATTCCCTGAAGCCTTGCATGCATTCTTTGAGAAACTCGAGCGTGAGATGTGGATCGTTCGCTGCCAAGGTCTCACTCAAGTGCTTGATAAATATGGTGTTATTTGATGGTATGCAGATACCGGACGTCTCCAACAATTGACCCTCTATTTTCAAGCCAAACGTTGCTGTGAGCGCGCATAGGTGATTGTACGCGGCAGTCCGAAGATTGGGATCAGGACTACCGAGATTCAGTAAAGCCATGTTCAGTAGAGTACCGGGTACATCTTTAGGCCTGATTTTCGAGTGAACGGACAAGGAGTTCGGATGCGATAGAGTCCAGCGACTCCTAATGTGAGCTATATTCTGCACGATGCTGTTGCAATCATTGTGGGCGAAAGTCAGAGGTCCTGCTTCGTTGGAAATGCTTAGCACAAATGAATTGTCATCCACTAAGCAAACTTCTTCTATCTCGGACGCATAATAGACATCATTTAAGAGAATGGATTGTGATAACACTTTAGATCTATCTATATGCGTTATCTGTAGTGTCGTTGGTCCGATCTTCACGGACACCCTCATTTCTTTATGAGATAGTTTCAAGACGCCGGTGAAGACTTTCAAGTCTTCATCCAGAGATAATGTTGCTCCAGGTAATTTTTGTTGCTCGACATCGATCACGTCGTTTAATTTTCCTTGGCCATCGATGAAGGCAATTTTTCGATTACCTTTCAATGGTGCCAGGATACTATCATGATACTTTGTGTATTCACGTACCCAGTTATTACAATTATAAATGTATACCGCGTGAAGATTTTCATAAGCTGCCGTAGGTAGAACGTAAAACCATTTTTGCAAAAATTCTGTCCGAAACCGATTATCTGAACACGTGTGAGTAAGATCGACGACTACATCATATGGAGAATGATAAAAGGGTTTTAAAGTTAGAATGACGTGATATATCAGTAGATCGCCATTCGTTTCGCCAAGTCTGAAAATTGAAGTTTAAATGATAAATTCTTCGCTATATCTTTACCGTTATTTTATATCTTATAACGATTTGCGCTTACTTGAATCGTCGTGAAATGTAGTAAAATACTGGATAGCCTTGTTTACTGGTGCCTGCTTGATAAAAAATATTCATGCTTTGGATACTTTTAAATTCTTCTCTCTCGTGCATATTATATTTCATCATGATCTCTTCAAAATTAGTCGAAGACATGTCTTTATTCGCCCATCGTGACATACGAACGTAAGTAGTAGAAAAAAGCGAGCTGAAATTCAAATATCGAATCAATCATTCGCGATTTATATTAGCCATCATGATGATGATGACGTAATCAAAGCGAGAATAGTTTCAGAACTCACTGGGAATCCACCGGTTTATGCTCGGGTGGCCCAAGATACGCTAATAACGTAGCCATTTTGTCAAATGGTCTCCTTCCGACAGCTTTATGATCTCTACTACTACTAAGATAATCTCCAATTTTTTCTTGATGATTCCACAACAATCTATGCAAAGCCAATACATTGGCATCCGAAACAAATGACATAGGATGACTGGTTTGATCAATTGTCTCGCAATCCGATGCTATCTGTATGATGAATCGTCGACCGATCTCAAAGTGCGTTCTCAAGAAATTGTTAAAAGGCAACATATGTTGCTCCTTGCTAAACTCTACATGATTTGCAATGTTCTGCAATATCTTTGACATAAGCATAAGGCCTCGTTTAATGTCATGTGGCACTGGTTTATTTATGATACCAGACTCTTGGGGTGAGACGATTGCAGGATTAATGAAACGCAGAAATATCACCGTTCCTACGGCTACAATGTTACTTTGCGGAGATTGCGGAAATCTCTTGCATAATACTTGATACAGGCAGTGACACATAGAGCGTAACTGCGGAGGAAACCTGAAAAGAAATTTTGGACTTGAGCGTTACGTGACTTTATTATAAGTTGTAATAACGATTATACTTACGTATCTGCCGATGATACGATAGCATTGAACACTTTTTGTGTCAACATGGTTAAGTTTTCACCGTTTTGTTCAATATTTTCGTTAGAGTCAATCCTTGCGCTATCTACTTCAAAACTAATTGTTGAGTTGTCCAGTAAAGGTATAATGAGAGGCTCGAGTAAGCCTTGCAAGTAGCTGGTGCCATAAATTTTAAAGCAGAAGGACATGATCTTACTTCCCAGAGTATTACCGCGAAAAAGAGTCTGTATACAATCAGTTAGCTCGACTTCTCGGTAGAGCATATTCCATAATAATGGTGATAACAAATGTTTTGCGTCAAACAGTGTCACGAAGACACGCGCCAACTCATCCATTTGATTCGTCGTCACTACATTAGCCAGTGCCATGGCGATAGGTAATTCGCCTTTATCACTGATCATTGTAACAAGTTGAACTAATTGTTCGTATCTATCCGCTAGGACAGTTTCGGCGAGAGTATCAAATTCCGTGCCCTGCTGAAGAATTTTAGTCAACACTTCCATAAATGCAGCTCGCGTCTGCAGATCTGTGTTGTAGCCCAAATCTAAGTAAGAAAAAAGTTAAAGTTTAATGATGAAATTATTAATTTGATAGTTATGAATAACCAAAGAATTGCCTAAAGAAGTAAAATAGTAAATAAAATTAAAAGCAGCAGACTTGTCTTTAGGACTTATATAATACATTCTTCCAGAAAATTTTTGGATTAAAACCATATAAACTGATTTGTCACGTACGTATGGAGTGTCTCAAGCCACTGTCTATATTCGCACTAAGAAGATTACTCATAGCTTGAATAGCAGTGTTGCGCAAAATGGCTACTTTGTTAGTCGTTAAAGTAGGCCGAGGCACAACATCTTTGTCCTCTGATGTTGATGATGGACCGTTGCAGTAGTTCATTAATTTCATAAAGAGCGTAAAATATTTCGAAAACAGTTCAGATTTTGCTTCCATCAATTCAACACGATCAGAATCTTCAGGCTGTAGAGGAAGTCCACGTAATAATGCTCCTACTGCTTCCATGCTAGCTTGATCCAAATCTCTATAGAAAGTTAAAGACAGATTTGATGGTCATAAGTTTTTATTTTTTATTTTCAACATAGAAATTAAACGTAGATGAAGTAGAAAAAAATATTTACGTGGCATAAGTTAGGATATCGTTGGCAGTTGTTGAAGAATGAGGATGTGTACACATTACCCACTCAGTTAAATATTCAACTAGTTTGTTACGAAATTTCAATTCCTGTCTAAATGCAAGATCGTCCCGCCTCTTCATCATAGCTTCAACGAGCTGGCATAATTTGGTTTTAATTAAAATCGAATGCACCGTCTTGTCCAAGTGCCTGACGTATCTAACGATTGCCAACATCATGCCTTCGATGCTAGTCATTCCAAGATATTCCGATGGTTGATCCGTCGTTGAATCCAGAATATTTTTCATTATAAATATAGTATGTTCAATAAATTGTGTGTTTAAATCTGAAACCACTACATGACCATGTGGGTCGAAGAATTTCTCGACAAAATTTTTTATCTGATCGAATAATATTGGATATAGAGCAGGACTCATCTCGTGTGCGACCAATTCCTTTACATGTTTCTGTATTTGATTGCCAAGTTTCTCATTGTTACAAATTAATAATCGTAGCAAGTTGAATATGAATTGTGTCACTGGACAACATTGTGCTTCTTGATTAGAATTTGATAAACCCGAGACAGAATCCTGTTGTTTTATCAAGCCCTTTTTATGCTCGGGATTAAAAGGGAATACACCATATGGTGGTCTATTAGGTGAACGACGTTGTAGACATACTCCACCCAAAGAGCAAAGAAACCCTGTCATGTTAGCCCACTCGTTAATTTGTTCTTCCATTTCGTGCTCTGAATTTTGGTGCGCCGCTCTCCGTTTTACATTGCCGCGACAAAACGGCTCTACCTGTACATCCTCAGTTTTGCTTTTAGGATAATTGGACAACTGCCGTGAAGTCGCTTCCCAATTTCTAAATGTTTCTTCCCAAGCCTAAAAATACGAACGTAAAATCTGTCGATTTAAAAAAAAACTATGTTTGAGATGTTTATGTTAAATATACAATTTATATAATGCTGTCTTATATAATATGTAGAGATAGATTTCATATTACACATAAATACGAAAAATAAATATATATTAATGTACGTACTGGTTGTATACCATTTACGCAATGTTCTATCTTTCTCAATAAAGATAATATTTTCTTTTGTAATGTGACACGCCCTGAAATAAAAAGAAACGTTAAAATGCTGTATTAATACAATTTCTTCATTTAACAATCAACTTATTAGAGAAACAACAATAAAAACATAAAAATAATGAACAAAATTGGAGACAAAGACTCACCGTAATTATATTCCTGATAATATAGTCTAGTCTCCCCGTGGGCTATTATCATAACAAGATCTTTAATATTCTACTACAGATGAATAAAACTATTTTATTAATTAAAGTAGAAAAATGGATTCAAAGATTCACAAGTGAATCTGGGAGAACATTTCTCTCCATCTGTTCTGAGTATTATCATAAAATTTCGTTGGAGAAATAAAACTTACCAGAGATCAATACGGTCGAAGCTTGCGCCAATTCTAAATACAGCTGATAATTGGGAAGCAAACAGGTCACTGCTACTCCATCGCTGCCGCAAAGAATTTCAGCTTCTTCGCATAATAGTGCAAAACAAGACATGGATACCAAAACAGCCTCCATGTCTATACTCCATAAATACATCAAACACACGACCTGGATATGTCACAAATTATGCAAATTAATTCTAACTAGTTATATTTTGCAATAATTAAAAGTCTGTACCTCAAGTTTAACATGTGCTTGTTTACTAGTCACAATGTGGCTGTCTTATTCCTGCAACTCAGTATCTCGCGAAGCCATTTAAGTATAGTTGTGTAATTGAAAATTTGATGTTGAATCAATTTCTGAGAGATTGAGAAGACGACTTGAGAACTGGCGTCCCAGAAAGTGTCAAGCGGCGCTTCTGGATTCCACGCTTTGACTTTATCTGGATGGTGTAGTACTAACAAAGCCTCCATCGCTTCATGGGCGATATCTGGCATTGTGGGCTGATGGACTAATGAGACAAGTCCATTAATCAGCTCTAAAGTGGACCTTTGTATTTCGTGACCAGCTGTGCCGTAACTCTGTAAATTGTTAAATTAATATAAGAGCCTTAGACATCTTATATTGATATTTATTATAATATCTATACGTATTCTATATAGTATATCTCAACTGTTGATATATATATATATATATACACATATATTTTTATAACTATTAATTAAGTATACATGAGTAAATGTTATATTTGTATTTTTCATCGATATCCTGCTGTATTCCTATTGTATCGATATCCTACTGCACTTATATTAACGATCGTCTTATATTTATTTATAAAGAACGTACATGCAACATTAACATAGGATCCACGTGAATGAGTCGGACCAACACCAGCAATAAGTTTTTGGAATTGGCCATCTCCTCTTTAGACTTGAGAGAAAAATTGTGAATCATGCGCAACGGCGTATTACTACAGTTCTGCGTCATTTTGTTCAGGGTATCAGTAAACATATTCCTGAGGTCTGTGCCGTATGAATATACAAGACTGGTCTCCGGCCACCACGGTAATCTCGGCTGTGTGAAAATTCTGAAATATGACATCAAATCACTTGGTCAGACTTGTCAATAATTTACAAGATCCTCGTTCGTGATCACTACGAAAAGAAAATATTTTCGGCACTTGCTTGTATAATGAGCTGACTAGGACGAACTGGTATGTTGATGGGTAGTTGACATTCAGACAAAATTTAAAAAAAGCTTCGTTGTTGACTGGATCGATACGAAAGGAGCTAATGTAGCAATCGATCATCAAATCGATGTCCTGCGCGCTATAATTCTGTCCGCGTGAAAATGGTTTCGAGGGGTTGAAGAGAAGGGTCATTAAATCGTCCATCAGTTGCTGCGCCAGGATTAGGACGACGTTAGTGATAGAATCGTTGCTGACATACGTGGCTGCTTTGATGAGATTGACGCATGTAACAGCCGCGGCCTCAGACAATTGGCGACTAGAAGAGCTACCGTGCATTCTTAAACTACGCTTCACGCTGTCGACGAACTGCTTCTTTTTCGAATACCGTGGAGAATCGGGTGGCCCAGTGTCGGCGTTCACGATCTCCAACACCTTGGGCGAGAGTATTAACAACATCACCTGCAACGGCCAAACAGAGGCCGCGCGACTCTTCTTCTCGGCGACGAACGTGTCGAGAATATCGAATAACTCCTCACACGCCTTACTAAGATCCTCGTTAGGCTGCTTCTGCATATCGGCGAACTCTTGCGGATACGTGTCCATCCAATTCCAGATAGCTTTCTCCAAGGGATTCATAATCACGAGATACGCTGACTTCTTACCAGTTAGTTGCCGGACTTTCTGTATAATTTCTGCAGCGATAACGCGTGAACGCACGCATAAGTGTATAATGTATTAAATTTGCGTATTATGCGATCGTGTGACGTTAATAATCATCGCCTACCGTTCAGTAGTCTGGTCAATCTGTGGACATCGAAATTGATATACTGCATCAACTCAATGTCACTACAATCTGAATTCTCGTCCCCGCTATTGGGCAGTTCTTGAAGCCTGGCAGATATCCGGTTAAAGACCGCGTTGAAGAAATTCAAGCTTAAAGCGAACAGTACTTTGCTCGCTAAATCCCTGATCATTTTCGTCTGTGGACTATCGTAGGGCATACCTGCAAGAAATTATAATTATCCTTGATAATTCAACTACTGAACATGCACTTTAATTCTCCTGTATAATCAGGTATAGTATACACATAGAAAAATATTATTCTATTGTAAAAAAAATGATTACTCAATTTACTTTCTTTGCTTTTTGAGTAATGCTTATTTTTAACAAAGAATATTTTTTGATAATAATTTTAAAATATGCTTATTACAAATTTTAGAAACACTCATTATACATATACCCAAAACAAGAATTTATTTTCTTTTGAAGAATATTATAAAATTAATCGAAGAAGTGACTTCATACAATAAGAAATCGAATATGTTTTAATTTAATAATCTTAACTAAAGTATTAAATTATTAGAATATTCAAAATATATTTTGAATAAATTTAGTGCTTATGATATTCCCTAAAATCTTTAGAGTGGAATCTAATTTTAAAGAGTGACAATTGAGCCAGGGTTGAAAAAGAGTGGTTCAATTGGCAATTTTTAAGAATAAAATTTCACACTTTAGAGTTAGATTCCGCTCAAAAAATTTTAGAGAGTACATTTACGAATATATAAACTTTTAAAATTAAAACAAGTAATTGTTACTTGCGTACAGTATGTATTTTTCTGTATGTACAAATCGATTCTGTAAACGTTAGATAAGGTCAACTTATCTCAACAATTTCCCTTGTTTGGCTCACCAATGAACTGGCATATCTCCCGAAGCAACAGTTTCACATTCATCGCCTCCTCGAATTTCGTTGTGTCCTTTGGTGTATTTGCCAGGCACTTCTCCAGCGTGTCCAGAACGATAATGATGGACTCCTGCCGATCTTGATCTTTGGATTGGAACGGCCGCTGACTGCTCGTGCTCGGTGTCAGCTCGTTGACTCGCTGCAGCATCTTCGTAAGACCAGATATAACGAGGGAGAAACGGTACCGAGAGATCTCTATTAGACATTTCTTGCTCCTCTTTTCGTTCATCCGAGAATGGGGATTTTCGGGACCGAAACGACATGGCAGCTATATTCAAAGGAGTGATCTCTTAGACAAAGATAAACTAACAAAAAATATACAATGTAACAAAAATAAATTAAGTATGTGTGTCCAAATGAGTAGTATTGTTGGATGAATCCATTTTCGTCTCCCGTGGATACGGTGATTATCAGGATGGAGGAGACACGCATGAATTAGAGGCATCAGGTGAAACGTAACAATCTTCGAAATAATAGTAGCGACAAATTGCCTGGACATTGGGAAACATCAATTTATATACTCGTGCGACTCAATCGATTCCGGTATTCCCTTTTGTTCGGTGTATCGGGCAACGAGCAGCGCGGTTGAGCTGTGCGTAAAGGGAATGCAACTTTCATTCATGAACACCCATCCCATTCATCGACTCGTATCAAACAGTAAGAGAATTCTTTCTTTTTTTACCGTCATTTTTATGGGGATGGGCAGGCACGAGCGCAGAATCTCATCCTGAAACTTATTTGACTTACCCGGAGATTCGTTGACCGTCGAATATCGTCAATTTCTTAATCTCGCGAATGTACGGTGCTCCACGCGAATTTATGTATCGCTTGTATTTATAAATAACGGATTTCGTAATTGGAGCACACACACAAAAGCATTTCCCCAATTATATTATTCTCACGCTAATCAGCGAAATAGCGTTCGTGAATCATAAATGCTCGTTGCTACCACCGTAGATTATCTTTAACCTTGGTTTAACTTATTTTTCATCTTTATCTCTCTAGTTCGAAGATTTAGAAAAGGATAAAGAGCAAATTAAAACGAGAAAATTAAAGTTAATCTACTGGTTGGTAGAAATGGACAAAAGTCACACGAGTTTACACCTCGCACCCCCTAATAGATACGTTACTGTATATACACCTTGATTGAGCTGCTCTTACGGCGAGGATGACTGGAGGCGGAGGGGGCGAAGGTCAAACCGCACGAGGGGAGCCGGGGGAGGAGGGGCCATCTTTGCAAGAATGCATCTTTTCATGAATGAACGAATCAAGGAGGGAAGGAACGACATCGTATTCTCGGGCACGGTGATAACCCCCCCACTTTATCGATACGCGCTCAAAACGTATCACCGTCTAGCACGATTATAGACGTTTGTTTCCCTTTTCTTTTTTTTTTTTTTTTTTTTTTTTGGAAAAGATAAATCGTAGGTATTCGAAAAACCTGTTCAGTTCGATTCTTTTAGCCGCGTCTACTGGCAAACGTTAGATCAACGATTGATCATGATGGTTTAATAATAGAAAATCTAACATGTGGTATCTCGAAATTGTATCAGACTTAAAGAATTAAATAAGATAAGATAAATTGTATTTGATTAATAGGTTGTTCTGTATATATTCTGTCAATTTCTGTAAATATTATTTAATATTTTATTTATGTAAATAAATCTTTTATATTTGTTTTTAAATGTTAGATTCTGATGTGTTACCTTTCGTTACAACATTCCAAAACTTTCGATTATCAAAAATTTTATTATTAAATCTTATTACTTTATCTTTGTTTTTATTGTTAAAAAATTGTATTGAATGTTTGATCGATTTCCTTATAAAATTCAATTTAGATCATACCCAAAAGTCGCACGCAACACAATTTATATACACAGAGATATCTTGTAAATAAATATAAAGCAATAGGAATCTTTCAAAAAACCAATGTCTGAAATATTGACATAAGATTGTACAGATAATTACAATCTTTCTCGTGTCTACATAACGATGCCTTGAGAATATTGTAAACATTTAGCTGTTGCCGTTGTATTCTAAATATTTAGCGGTTGATGAGGACGATCTCTGAAATATCTACGTCCTTGAATTGTTTCTTATGCCTGCTTATGCCGTGCTCGCTCCAAATATCGTACATATTCCGAATACTTAATTCTCAAGTTCAAATTCAGCAGGTATTAGGAGACAACGTTGACCAATTCATAGGTATGTACAATCGGTCGGTCGCGTCCTCGTCCTTGCATTCGTTGTTCCAGAAGTTCGAACATTCGTTCGAGAAAAATCATACCACCCCGCGTACCACGATTAACGAGTGGCGAGAGAGCTCGAAATTCGATACCCGGAGAACGGGGGGCGCGAGTACGACGGGAACGAGGCCGACGGTGACGGTACCGGTGTAATCCCAAGACGCGCCCATGAAAGGCGTTGACGAGGACTCGAGGAGTCGACGAGCAAACGGGCAAGTACCGTAAAGTCCGTAAATGCACCGTGGATGTGACATTACAGGGAGGAGAAGGAGGTGGCCGTACACCGGAAGAGGGTGGCGAGAGCGAGACGACGGGCCGAGAGGGAAGGAGAAGGAGAGGGCGAGCACGAAACGAAACGATCAGGAAACGAAGACAAGGAGATCGACGCTTCTCGCATCGGAGCATTGCCAATCGCCCACCTGATCCTCGAAACGCGTGATCACTAAATTCGCCCATTCCCCGGGCTTTTGCGTCCCCATCTCCGTCCGAGGTTCACTGACAGGCCGTTACCACGTACCACGAATCGCCAGCTCGCTACGAGCTGCGACCTTACGTCATCATTTATGAACGTTGACTGAACGACCATCACCGCGATCTCCGAAACTCCGAATCGCCCCCGATGGGAGGGGCACTTATGGTGGTAGGGCAGCGAAGATGATCGAGTGCAGTCGGAGGTACACGACCGCCTCACCGACGCATCAATTGTGCGCTATGTGCTCAGGAACGTAGCGATATAAACCGAAGGATCCTTTATATAAGAAATACATAAATTTCTATTCTTTATAAAAGAAAAAAATTTTATTTGTAAAAAAAAAAGAGCAATTGAAAATTTTCGATTACGATACAATTTTCAACCATCAATAATTCTATTCTATACTACATCTTTTCTTTATGACTATTTGCTTATTTGACGTTAAAACATTCATCCTTTTTACTTTATGATTTTGTAGAATTTTATTACATTATATTAATTGTGCTGTTTCAAACAATAAAATTTTGTTATTCATTCGAGAGAATGTTACATTTAATTATATACAACTAATCCTATAGAGAGACTACAGGGGATGATAGCTTCGTACAGCCCTGATTCGGTCAACGCTGGTGCACGATTACCCCTCCTTCAGCCACGTCATTCATAACTGTGCAACACGGCCTTGTACCCGGGACAATTGCCCGTACGAAAATTCGATCACGTTAAGTGCGATATTGCAACGTGGATGTCCTTTCATATTCTCCACTTTACTGGTCAGTAGATACATTAAAAAATCATAATCTCTACAATCTTCGCCAAATCTATATGCGTAATTACTTTTAAAAATTAACGTATCATACAATTATATTGTATGTTTTTATAGATATTTATTAAAAAATAATATAACATGTTATGTAATAAACGATAAAATAAAATTCAGAAAAGGCTAATGAGAGTCAAACGCAAATAATACTCAGGTGTTAATAGCTATCTTCATTTATTTCGTCTCACTAGCCTTTTCTGAATTTTATTTTATTGTTTAAGATTGAGAGTCCTTTATTTATATTTATATACGTAATTTTGTTTATTATGTAATAAAATTTGAAAAACTTAAATACAATAATTATATATAAGATAAATAAAACATTCGATCATCTTACTGTTTAATATCACAACAATCATTACGTAACAATATATCATAAGATAATCATCACTCAATAACCACACAATTATAAAAGATTTTTTTCCTTACCTATATAGTTCCACTCACTCTTTTAATATGAAACAAATGAGACTTTCTTTCTTATTGAGAATTACTCTGCTAATAAGCAAAATTATTTTACAAAAATTAAGTGAAAAACTCTTTACTCTTATAATTAAGATTTTTTAAATATTAATTTAAATTCTCTTTAGCGAAAGATATATTATATAATTCTTTTTATATTTGAACTATATTATTTTAAATAATTAATAATTTAAAATAAACGTTTTCTTTTCGACATTTAGAACAATATTAAAATTTACCTTCCTGGCAAACAACAAATTGTTTACAATCTTTCATAAGATACAAATAAATTACAAATTTATGCTATGCGCTATGCTCTTATTGGATATTTCGTTTCATAATTCTTATTTAATGTAAGGAAGAAACATTAAAACCAGTTTCAGTTTAACAATATATAATTAAATAGCGTGCTAATTGTATTTTTGAAAAGTCAATCTTTTGATAAGAGATCCTTTTATACAGTTAAACAGTTATATTAAATCGAATATCATATATTCATAATGCTACATATAACATTTTTTTATCTCTCTGTCCACAAAATTTCTCATATCATTTCACTGAAAAATATATTCGCAATATAAGAGATTAACAAATATATAATTTCAACAATGACATTATTTTATAGTTTAGAAACAAATTTCCATTTCATGATATAAAATTCCTATTTTTCTTTGTATAAAATTTAAAGCTATAAAAGTTAAACAGAATTCTGAAAAATATATTCGTTGGAGATCGCTTATCTATATGTATGTATGTAATTTTATATATTATACATGCGGAAGTGATATTCAATTTAACACACTAATTGACGAACAGCAATATCTTTCTTGCATTCTACGGAACACCACACAGATATATTCGCATAAGAATAACATTCTTCATGATCGGTAAGTATATCGTCAATTAAGTTAGTGTTTCTTCTATGCTGAATAGAGATTCTTTATCATTAATATTAAATACTGTATAGTTACTAGCATCACTTTTCTCGGATAATTATCTATTCGTAAAAAAAATATTTTCTTCCAGCAAAGAAATCACAGAATCAAAAATATCCACATCTCGTTGTCGATGCTTTTTGATGGAATGAACGCTTTTTGGATCCAAATCGGAAACTTTAACGCTGCTTAAAAAATAATGTTGATCCGAAAGTTTTATAATATTTTCCACAGGCATTCTTGATGCATATTTCCTGTAAAAAAGAAAAAAAATTATAATTATTGGAAGATAACATATCTAATTATCTGAAATGCGTATAATATGGTGAAAGTAATAATCACCCACATGTTGCACATTTGCGGCTGTAAATAATGATTCACGATGTATGCGTGAAATATGAATTATATGTTTTATGAATTGATTATAATTATATTAAGTCCAAATCAAATAATCATGATCAGATAAATAAAGTATCTACTTATTTGCTGCAGTGCTATATTGGGTGACTATTATACATTTGGACAATGACTATAGAGAATAATTAGAAAGCGCATTTCTTCTCAGAGCTAATGCATTAAATCAATTTTATCGCTAATTTTGCCTTTGTTATAAGATTTATACTAGTTTCGGCGCTTTAAACATTACAGCAACGAAAATACGGGTTATTGTTTCGAACAATACACTTACGGATGCAATTCACGGAAGGTTATTAATATCGAACAATCTCTGGCGGCGACAAATAAAAGGTAATTTTGCAACGCTGACAAATATTCGGCGGTAATCTGCACATTTGCCTTTCGTTTGTTATCGTTACTAATTTTTTGGTTATGCAGATTCTTGTTTCCATGAAATAGTTGGTGCGAATCTAGGTTGGAACTAATTTCTGTTTGCGATACAGGATCACCGTTCATAAGTACTCTGCTAGTATTAGTAGATAAAACACATTTTGAACTAGCATTACAATTTCTATTAAAATCGTCATCATGTTTTTGTGCAATAGTACTCTTAAGAAACGTTTGAAAGTCTATTTCCTTCATGATTTCCATTTTCTGGACTGCATTCTGGAACAGAAAAAGATAAGCATTATCTAATGTATTCATGTATTTAACAAAAATTCCTTCTTTTGTATATATATTTGTATATCTAAAAATACATACCATAGGATGTTCGGGTAAAGCGTGAAAAACATTACGAGTTTTGTTTAATTTTATCAAGTCAGAATATATCATATCATCATTTAGTAGCGATGTGAAATTGGAATAAACGTTGTAAATATAATTGGTATTGACGTAAGACAATCGCTGCATATTCCATATTCGTTCTAGCACAGAGTTCTTCGGTAACTCACTGTGATCAAAATTGCACTTCTGTAAGGAAAAAAAATAGAAATTAGTTAAAATGCAATGACACATTATACTCTCTCTCTCTCTCTCTCTCTCTCTCTCTCTCTCTCTCTCTCTCTCTCAATAAATGATAATTTTTAATCTAAGTAAGTATCTACCTTTCCCACGAGGCGAAGACACTGTTCGGCTCTCGCAACTGCGTCTGGCGCGGTGCAAAATGTTGGAACTTGATTCGCGAGTACAAGAAAATTACGTGAAAGGGAGGTGGCAGGCAGTTTCAGCTGCTCTTGGGCGATAGGCCGCGTAAGGGCGGTGCAAACCAAATTGCAGAACTCGTCGACGTGGCAAGCTCGTCCGTCGTTCTCCGCATTCCGAAACCACTCGTCCAGCACGTTCTCGAGATCGTTCGGCGAGGACGTTTGATTGTAGACGACGAGGCCGTCTTTGAAGATTTTCAAATTGTTCTGCGGCGATTTCAGAAGCTCCTCCATGGCGGCTTTCATGCGCGGCTCCTTCCCGGAGAACAGATTAAACGGGCAATAATTGCTGGGAGAGGCAATGTCTTTCCTCCTCATCTAAAAAATTGCTTTGTTTTAGTATATGATCTTTAGTATATTGTATATATCAATATTACTGATATTATTATAATATTTCTATTGTTTATTATTATTTGTAAAAATAAAATTGGAACAGAGTTGATAAAAATCATATTTTAAACATGTTCAAACTATGTTTAATCAATATTTTAAACGTGTTTCAAGCATGTTTTATAAAATACTGCTATATAAAACGTGCTCAAAACATTAAAAATATGTTTTAAAAAAACCACAATGTTTTATTTTTTTTTAAACAACATTTCCAATCCTGTTGGAAAGCGAATGTTATTATTAACCATCAATTACAACAACGGATAATTTAGACGCGAAAATTAAATAAATATTTTAATAAAATAAAATAAATATAATAAAATAAAAATTTTTAGACGACTGTATAATCTGTACGATTGATACTATGATTCTAAATCATAGATAAAAAAAACTTTGAACCTTCCTCTATCAATCACCGTAAGGCGGAGATTCACTCGCGTTCTGTATACTTCAAATAGGACGCTTAGGTGTAGTTTTCATAACCGTAGTTGAGACAATTAAGAATACCTTGGCGTACTGGTTGAGACAATACGGACATCCAGGAAATCTTTGCTCCGCCTCTTGTAAGTATCCCTGCTTCGGCTTTATCTCCACGCAAAACGTTGAGCGGCTTCGGAAGACGGTTTGATCAAATTCCAATTGCAAATCCAAAAGCGTATAATCAGAAAACTTCGTGGCGTACGTGTCCGTGATTTCCTTATACCGGCGTACTTCTGTAACAAACGTAAGGTTGAACATGATAAATGTATGTGTGCTATTTTCTTCGCTTATTTTCAACGCATTTAATTTTGTCGACTGCTAAACTCAACGTTTTAATAATAACGATGAGATACACATTCGATAAAATGTGCGCATATAAATATGATCGTAAAATAACGACTGTTCTAAAATAGAATTTCTTCATCGGAATTGCGCCGAAGGGTGGTACGAACGACAACGCGTAGGCGCGAAACATTTGCGATTCACGTGATTCCAAGATAGAAGAAAGTCACGCGAGCTACCGCGAATGTCGAGAGTAGCGAATAGTAGACCAAACTCATAAATATAGTAATATA